GTGGGACATTCCTGGAAGAGATTTGGGCAGGAGATGGTGAGTTCAGGGCAAGGATGCTCTGTGCTGCTCAGAGGTTAGTGTCCAATTGGAGTTGAAAAATAGGCCTGGACGGAGCTCAGGGCAGTGATCTGGGTTAGACGGAGATTGGGGCGTCCTGAACACACAGGGGAACTGACTGGACAGAGAAGGCGAGAACACCCCTGGCTGGGCGGAGCTCTCTTCATCCCGACCAGCACCAGACAGCTTAGCACTTGTATCCAGACACGCCTTTCCATTTGCTGCCTCTTTTACTGCTCGCTTTCATCCCGAATGTGTTTTCCTTCCAACACCTTAAGAGACCGCCCAATATTTCGTATGCTTTCTCCCCACTCTCCGTCCGCTAGCACCGGGTTGATCCAACAGTAAGGCTGGTGCTGATAATAATCCTAAATAACTACTAGTAACAGTGTCTGTTACGTACAAGGCCTAATGTTAAGATCTTAACTCTGCTGTTTTATTCTATTTCCGCAAGGACCCAAAGAGGTAAGTATGAGGAGCTTTATTTTACAAGTGAGGAAAGAGATGAAGTTACAGAGCATGTGCAAAGCCCTACAGCGGGCAGATGGAGAAATATGGCATTGAACCTAGCTGAGGATGACCCCAAAGCCTGTTTGCCCTCTCACTGAGCAGGGCGAGGGCACCTCTAGTCTGGCTGGGAGGTCACAAGGAAGAGAGGGTACCGGTTTGCCAAGTGGCTACCAGGATAGGAATCAGGAGCCTCTCGGGGGAGCTCTAAGCAGTCTGGACTCTTGACTCAGGGGCAGAAAGAATGGACAACCAGGGGTGTTCACAGTAGAACGAGCCCCTCAGGAAGCAGTGAGCTGCTCATCACGTAAAGGAGACACGATCTTGAAGGAGCCTCCAATCTTGAGCACGTCATGAACCTGCTGACATTTCCAGGTGGAAGATATGCTTGGCAAAAGTGCCCCCCAAACACTTCCAAGAAATGTAGTGACACTAGCCAAAGGAAAAAGAAAAATTTAAGAAAGCAGATTTCAATGGAATGGGTGCTTCTGAGGATCCAAGGGGAAGGGGTGGGAGCAGGAGGAGTGATTTTAAGGGAGAAAACATTAAAAGTAGCAAAAACAACCCCCCGAGGCATGGGACAGGCGGGGGCAAGCTGATTAGCTCTGCGGAAAATGGCATAAGGAGCTGAATCACCACTGGGCATAGACTCCTCCCTTTTTCTCCGCTAACAGAGCACCCATCAGCAGCCTGGCAGGAGACCAGCAGCTGCAGGGAGAATGCAGAACAGAGCAGGATGAAGTAACAGTCTCTTCCCCTGGGACAAGCACAGTAGAACCCTCAGGGACAAGATTAGAAGCCAAGTGGCTGAGAAGGTTGGACACAGGCAAGATTAAGCGCTTTAAAGCAAGATAAGAGCCTGAGAACTCGGGAGGGCAGACCCCCACCCTCACCCCACTCAGCATACAGGGAGGAGCAGGGCAGGATGGCCAAAGAGAATCACAAAGAAAGCCCAGAACCCTGCGGAGAGCAGAAAAGTCGGAGCAGGAATCCGGCAGAAGTCATAAACGGAGACTGAAAAATGCTCTTTCCATTTACGTGGAAAAAGATGACAAAAGGAATGTGCGCTATTAGACTGAGAGAAAGCACAAGGGAAAAAGGCAGGGGTTGTGGCTGTGTGTTTGTGCTTGGGTGTGTGTGGTATGGTCCTTACGTGGGCCTGTAAACACGGGCACACCTCCACGTGCATGTGTCAGACAAGTGTCCATTCAGGGCTTCCGGGTGGACCTGCGTGAGGCCGTGTTGAGGGTGTATACAAGCAATCGGACCTCGGTTCTCTTGACCTCTACTCTATGTGGTCTGTCTCCCCTACACAATGCAGCAAAATAAGCTGGACTATAGATGAGAGAAGGACGTGGTGATCACTGGGAGCCTGAGCTCCCCGACTACAGCACGCTCTCTCTGCATGCGCAGCTGCCTTCCCCTCTCCCGGCTTCAGTTTCCTTACCTGTAGAACAAAAACATTTTAAGCGGTGGCTCTCAACCCAGGATGCACAGCACGGGGCACCACTGAAGGCTTAAAATAATAGGAGATACCCAGGACCCACGTGGCACCACCGAATCCCAATCTCTAGAAGAACCTTCCGATGAAGCCCCTTTCACAAGACATTCCCAAGTCAAGCCTCAATAAGACTGACAAAGGGGCCCTGAGCTCCAGATTCCCGTTTCCTCTCCAGGAACTTGCTGTCAAGTTGGGAATGCATCACAATATGAGGCACAGGTCAGATTATCACACCGCAGCCAGCCCTCCTCTGGGAGAAAAGGCCGATAGGAGGGCTAAAGGAAGACAGACCCCCAAACACTAAAGACTCCAACCTGCTGGGGCCTGGAGGAAGGCTGACAAGGACAAACCCAAGTTCAACACTAAGGGACACAACCTAATGGATGAACACAGGAAACTGGTAACAGTAGGAGATCCTGGGGAGAAGAGCTGAAGGGCTGAGGACAGCCATCAGAAAGAAAGAAGTATAGGGCATTGTAACTTGTAGGTGCCTTTTGAATTTTGCATTGTAGAACTATACTAGCTACCTTTAAAAATCACTGGGGGAAAAAATAATGGGCAGGAGCTCAGAACTTGGAAGAACCTGGCGGGACAGAACTGGGAGGCACACAGTCTAGGGTTTTAGCCGACAAGCTTACCCTGAGCAGACCCAGTGTGGTGGCTGTCAAACTTAGCCCAGCCTGCAACTTCACAGTGGGCAGGTGGCGCTGTCATTAAGTGCGGACTATCCCTCTGTGATCCGTGAAGTTCACTCCCTGGCTGGATCCCTGAGCCCTGGACTGACTGAGCACCACATTCTGAGCAGTCTCTGGATTGAACCTAAAATACACCCCGAAAAAAAGAAACTGGAATGGAGAAGGGTCAGGAAACTGGAGCAGGGAGGGTAAAGGGATAGGTTTGTCAGGACAGGCAAGGAGAAGACTGGGTGGGAGACCACAGAGGTCTTCGAATATCTCCACTAGGGAAAGAGAAGAAGCTATTCTTCCTGAAGATAGAACTTGAGTTTGGAAGGTAATTTCCGAGCTAAGGAGAACTTCCTAACCTTTAGATCAGTCTCACAGCAGAATGTGGTGAGCTCCCTGTCAAAGGACATCCTTGACCTAGGGATGTAGGACCTCTCCCTGGCAGAGATGATGAAGGGGATTCTGGCATCCACTGGGACACTGAACCTGGGGGACTCTGGGTCTGAATACACCCTGACTCATAAGGAACATCCCAGATCTCCGGAGACCAGTGCCAGGCTTTGTTATGCAGGGTTTGTACCTCAGGGGGTTATCCTGCTGTCGCCCACTAGTGATATCAACCTAGGGGCAGTGGGGGCAGTGCCAGAGTAGCCACCAATCCAGAGCTGCAGAGCATCAGACCAAAACCTGGGCCTGGAAGGGATTTGGCAAGGCCAACAGGTGCCCCCTCCCACATTTTTTTTCTTTTTTAAAGATTTTATTTATTTATTTGACAGAGAGAGAGACAAAGCAAGAGAGGGAACACAAGCAGGGGAGTGGGAGAGGGAGAAGCAGGCTTCCCGCTGAGCAGGGAGCCCGATGTGGGGCTGGATCCCAGGACCCTGGGATCATGACCTGAGCTGAAAGCAGACGCTTAACGACTGAGCCACCCAGGCACCCCCACACTTTTTTTTTTAAACCAACATTTACTAATTGTTTTTGTGTGGCTGGCCAGGGGCTACTGAGGGAGTGAACATGACAGGCAGGTCTTGGGCTGCATTCTAGGGAGGAGACAGAAAACCAACAAGAAAAATATTAAAAGAACTAAGTTCTACAGAGAGAAACAGGTGTAGGAGGGGGCTCTATGGGAAGTCAGGGATCAGAGAAGACTCTCTGAGGAGGTGATATTTACTCTGAGCCCGGAATCATTTTGCCTTGGGCAGCTGGTCAACAGACATCACTGTGGCCATTCACCCACGGGGACAAGACCGTTTGTTTCCGCAGATGCCCAGGTGCCCTTCGTCAACTTTTTCTCCCTTAGGGCCAAGAAGCCCTTCCCCTAGGAAGCAGCCCTAAACTACTGCGAATCCCACAGGGACATAAACAGTTCTGAAAGTTGGGCGAGGAGCATTAACTAGTCTGTAGAGACAAAGGGGCCTGGGATCAGACCTGGAAGACGCGGGTAACAGCAGTGCTCGGTTCATTGGGTCTTTGTGGGCATTAAATGAGTACATGCACTTAAAGCATCAAAGCGTCCGACATACAGTAAGCGCTCAGGAAGTGGCAACTACCTCGATAAACGTCAATAAATGTTAAAAGTCTGGTTCTGTATTCGGAGGAGGCCAGGCCTTCTTCTTGCGCCTCGGTTTCTGCCGCTGTCCTCTCTGGCCGTGGCACTGGGTGCATTCAGGGTTAGGATCTCCCGAGCCTTTGCACACCGCTGCGGCCTCGGGGCGGTGTACAGTTGAGGAATCCGAGGCCGCGGGGGTAGGGGTGGTGGCCTTTGGGAACCGGTGCCTCGGGGAGCCCACGCCCCGCCCCCGCAGTGACCCCGCCCCCCACCTCGCATGGCCCCGCCCCAGTCCCCCTCCCAGCCCTGAGCGACTCCGGCCTGCGCGCTCCTTTAAGGCAGCCTGCGGGAAGAGAAGAGCGCGTTTCGCCCCCTCCGACGCCGCCGAGGTAGAGGCTTCACCTTTAAGGCGGCGCGGGGACTGCTGGGAAGGCCGGCGGGATGGAGGCGGCGGGACCCGCTCACGGCTGCGGGTCCGGGTGAAGCGGGGCGGGAGCCGGAACCTGAGCAGGAGCCCGGCCACGAGCCGAAGGCGTAGGTCCGCGGGGGCCGATCAGGTCGGGAGACCGGCCTCTGGGTCGGCCTAGGGGAGGGGTCGTCGTGGGCGCAGGCTGTGGGAGAACAAGGCCGGCCTGCTGGGAGGGGGCGCGGTCCTGGGTGGCCGGGGGCGGGAGCTCGGCCTTTTCAGGGGAGGGGGGTCCGCGGGGCGTCGCGCCGGCGTATGGGGAGCGGTCATTGTGGGCGCGGCCTGGGTGGGTGGGGGACGAAGAAGCCGATATCTCAAGGCCCTCTAGGGGAAGGGTCTCCCAAGGGGCGGCCTTCCCTAGAGGAGGGGCTCTGTGACTCGGCCTGCCTGTTGGGGAAGGGGTTGCCCGAGGGGTTGGGGCTGCATCCCCTAGAGGCGCCGGGGTCTCCTGCACGGGAGTGAGCCTCCACGATCCCTGTAGGACCGCCCTCCAGCGCTCCCTGTCCTGGCTAGGGGAGTCCCCGGGGAAGTCCCCAGCCGGCCTGAGCCGGTGGTCTGGGCCGAAGCCGGGTCCAGCCTCACCGGCCTCACCGCATTGCGTCTCCCCGGCCGAGACAAGCTGGGCGCGCCCTCTGTAGGCCGAGCGCGGGCACGGTGTGGGTTGCCGGCTAGGGGACCCTGGCACCCTGGGGACCCAGGCGTCCTGGGACCGGAGGTGTTTACCTAATTCGGGGCGGACGGCGGTGTGGCCCCAGGCCCGGCACTCGCCTGCCCGCCCCCTCGCCTTCACAGGCGGCACGCCATGGCTACGATGGTGCTTCCGCGGGAGGAGAAGCTGAGCCAGGATGAGATTGTGCTGGGCACCAAGGCCGTCATCCAAGGCCTGGAGACCCTACGCGGGGAGCATCGTGCCCTTCTCGCTCCCTTGGTAGCTCATGAAGCTGGCGAGGCGGAGCCCGGCTCACAGGAGCGATGTGTCCTCCTGCGTCGCTCCCTGGAAGCCATCGAGCTGGGTCTGGGGGAGGCCCAGGTAGGCTGGTGTGGGATGCTGAGGTGGGAGGTTACGGGAGGGATGGAGCCTTCCAGAGGAATCCTGGCAGTGTAGGAACAGAACCGGAACAGGGAACCATGTGGCCTCTGGAGCCCATGGTAAGACCTCAGTAAATATCTGGTGAAAAATGAACCGGCTTTGAAAACCCCAGCTGCGCCTTGCCTCAGAAGAGCCTGATCATCCTTTAGTCCCCATGCAGAACCCTGTTCCTGACTTCTCTGATGGGTAGCAGAGGCCAAAAGCATAGGAGAACAAAAAGGGAGATCCTTAAGAACCGCCCCCTCCCCATTAATTCTCTTACTCATTCCTTTACAGGTAAATTATCAAGTGCCCACTATGTGCCAGGCAATCTGTTATGTGCCAGAGACACAGGTCCAACAAGAGACAAGATCTCTGCCCTGATCTACTGGGGAGAGAGTCAGAAACACACAAACATTTGTTACATATTGTGATTAAGTTCTACATAGAGAACAAGATCCTGAGATAGCTTAAAGCCGGAGGTCTTATTTATGGGTCAGGGAAGACGTCTAAGGAAGTGACATTTAAGCCAGGACCTGAAGGAAGAAATGAACTGGCCTCCAGAGAAGGGAGGGAGGCAAGAGGTTACATGTGCAAAGGTCCTGAGATAGGAAAGATCTTGTGGTGGGAGAAAAGAGAGAAGACCTGTCTAACCAGAGCTTCCTGGGGAAGGAGAGGGACAGGAGAGGCCTGTGGCCAGGCAAGAGCCAGATCATGCTGCAACTTAGTAGTTTGGGTCGTATTCTCAGAAAAGCAGGAAGCCTTTGGAGGGCTTCAGTAGTCAAAAGATACAGTCCGCCTTAGATTTTAAAAGCTTCCTTTGGGAGCGCCTGGCTGATTCAGTAGAACATGTGACTCTTGATTCTGAGATTGTGAGTTCAAGTCCCTTGTTGAGTGTAGAAATTACTTTTAATAAAAGAGTCTTAAAATAAAAACTCCCTTTGGCTGAGGGGTGGAGAATGAACCATATGGAGCGCATCAAGGATGGAAGCAGGTGGCAGGTAGCTAGCAAGCCACTGCCGGAATTCAAATGAGGAATGGTAGCCTGGACTGCAGAGGTGGCTGCGAGGGAGGAGAGAAAGGACCTGGTTCTGGGTGTTCTGGATGTTCTGGATGTTCTGGAGGTGGGTCCAGCAGGACCCAGAGGTGAAATAAGGGAGAGAGGGAGAGAGAGAGGAGGGCAGAGTAACCCAGATTGTGGTTGGAGCAAGTGAAGGGGGCAGGAAAGCCCACATGGCCAGGGGTTCTGTTTTGGTCCTCTTGACACTGGGGCTGCCAGGACGATATGTTGATGGAGATAATCCAGGAGGCGGACAAGGGGTGGACAAGGAGTACACACTTTCTCCAGGGCAGTGTGTTGGCTGAGATGCCGCCTGGCTCCATAAATCCTGGGCAGGTGGCATCATCTTGGTTTCCTCGTCTTGAAAATAGGGCTCATGCCATCTGCTGTGTATACTTGCAGGCTGTTTAGGGAATTTTTTAAAAAGCTAGTGGTTGTGAAAACACCTGTCACTTACGCATTTGCTAGTCAACTAGAAAGTGCGGGGTCCCAGACGGCCTGGCCCTGTGGCAGTGCAGTGCTGGTCATTCCCTCCTTGGCCAGTTGGCTGCCGGGTACGGAGAGAAACGCAGAGGGGTCCCCCTCCTAGTATGCGCCTGACACAGATGGGCAAGAGGATGGCATGGAGGGAAAGTGCCCTTCTTTCCTTGGGCTGCAGGAATGACCCTGGCTGTGAAGGGTGGAGAAAGAGTAGAGCCTGTACGAGACTCCAAGGCAGGAAGAACTTAAGGGCTCAGGAAAAGAGTCCTAGAGGTTGGAAAGACGGGTAGGGGCTGAAGCTGAGGCCTCTGGGTCCCCTTCCCCTCTGGTTCCCGGGGGGCTTGGGACACATACACCTCTCCTTTCTAGGAGCTGCATAAGACCAGGGGCTTACCTTGGCAGAAATCAGGATGGGGTCTTTCCGTGTCCCTTCAGCCACTTCTCAGGGTTCTTAGGAAATTGCTAGCCCTGGGGTAAGGGGCACTGGGATAGTGGCTGTGGCAGCAGAGCTTAGGTACAACCCCCAGGAGAGACGAAGGAAGAGAACAGCTAGCTCAGGGAAAGCGCAGAACCCCAACTAGCCCTCTTTGTGATCAAGTCAGTGAGGTGGGAACCGGGAGTTTTAATGCAGAGGACTAGCTAGAGGCCCAGGGGAGGGGATGGACTTTCTCCGAGTCCAGCAGAGCCAGCCTGGGAACCCAGGGCCTGACCCCAGCAGGAAGGAGCTGGGGGTGGGGGGTGGTCCCAAACCTCCTGGGTTCAGGTCTTGGACTAGGGTCTATTTGGGGCCTTCGGGGGAAACTCCCTTGATGAAAGGAGAACTTGGTGGCCCTCAGCCCTGTAGGCAGGGCCAGGCCCCAGCACCCCAGGAGGCCCAGGCTGGGGGTGGACGAGACTAGCCCTCATCCTGGCTGGCTGGCACCACAGGTGATCCTGGCACTGTCGAGCCACCTGGGGGCCGTGGAGTCAGAAAAGCAGAAGCTGCGGGCTCAGGTGCGGCGTCTAGTGCAGGAGAACCAGTGGCTGCGAGAGGAACTGGCCGGAACCCAGCAGAAGCTGCAGCGCAGCGAGCAGGCCGTGGCCCAGCTCGAGGAGGAGAAGCAGCACCTGCTGTTCATGAGCCAGATCCGCAAGCTGGATGAGGACACGTCCCCCAGTGTAAGCCCCCACCACGGCTGCTGCAGGGCCATCGGGCGGGGGGCCTGGGAGCGGGGAGGGACACGGAGTCCACTGGGCTCTGACCCAGCCACTGACACTTGGGCTGCCATGCCCCTCCTTCCCTGACGCTCATTCTGTCCTCAGGAGGAGAAGGGGGATGTCCCCAAAGACTCACTGGATGACCTGTTCCCCAACGAGGAGGAGCAGAGCCCAGGTGCAGAGGGGCGGCCGGTTCTGGGGAGGGGGAAGGGGGGGCTGTGGGAACTCCTTGTCCTTGGGACCCAGCGGTCACCAGAAACGGTGACCGAAAGTCCACCGTGTTCTTTCCCGCCGCGTTTCTGATCATCACAGCCCAGCATGCTGGAGTCGTCAGGCAGGTCTCACGTGTTGCTTCTCTCCCCCTAAGCTCTGAGGAACAGGTATCGCAGTGGAGAGCTTTGGAGCAGCCTGGCCCGGGCTCAAGTCGTGCTCTGCCACTAGTCATCCTGGGACCACTGGTTTCTCTCCCTCTCAGCCTCCTCTGAGGGTTAAGGAAGACGCATGCACAGGGCTGAGCCCAAGGCCCATGCTCGGCTTGCTAATGGCGTCGAGCCCCCGAGTCCAAGTCTCCCTCCTGCAGATGGGAGACTGCGGCTCGGGGGTTAGGCGGCTTGCTCTACAACACACAGCTTGAGGGATTGGGGCTAGGACTCTACCCACTCTATGGATGGGGAAACTGAGGCAGAATAGCTAGTGACTTGTCGGGTAGGTCAAAGGCATGGCTTGCATGTGCCAGCCCTGCCCTGGGGGGCAGTCAGTACATCTGGTCTGCCCTTGGCCTTGCAGCCCCCAGCCCTGGAGGAGGGGATGTGGCTGCCCAGCACGGGGGCTATGAAATCCCAGCACGGCTCCGCACGCTGCACAACCTGGTGATTCAGTACGCCTCCCAGGGCCGCTACGAGGTGGCCGTTCCCCTCTGCAAGCAGGCGCTCGAGGACCTGGAGAAGACCTCAGGCCACGACCACCCTGACGTCGCCACCATGCTGAACATCCTGGCTTTGGTCTATCGGTGAGGGCGCCTCTGGTCACAAGCATCCGTGGGAGTCTGCACACTGCCTGAGGGCTCTAGCCCTGGGTCACAAACCCCCGGTCCCTGCTGTGGGCCAGGACTGGGCAGCTCGGCTCTACCAGGCAGCCCGGCCGCAGATGAGGAGCTTATGGCCAGAGAGGCCTGGGCCTATGGGGTGCCTAGGGCCTCCCTGAGTCTGGGCTACAGATAGACTTATTGGAGGAGAAAGGCTTGGGCATAGCTAGGGATGGGGACAGCACCTGATGAGGACTCTAAGGACACAAGGGAGGCAGCCCAGGTCTTTGGGGAGAAAATTTAAAAAAAAAAAAAAAAAAAAAGTCTTTGGTGAAAGAGAAGTTGCCCAGAACATGAGAGGGTTGGAAAAGTTTTCCTTGCTGGAAAGAACAGTATGAGCAAAGGCCCTGGGGAGTAGACAACAAGGTGCACTGGGCCTGAGGAAGTTGGGGTAGAATCCTGGGGAGTCTGGCACATCAAATCCCAGTACTCGATGCCCTGGTGAGTTGTGAGTAAACTGTTCAGAGTCCCCCCAAGCCCCTGGAGGGCAGAGGCTGACCAGGTCTCCCCAACCCCTGCGTAATAATCACATCCACTCATCAGTAAATACCAGAGGAGTGACCATGGGGATCTGGGACCAACAGGGGGAGGGCCTTGGGCTGGAGGACACCCCTCACCGTGCTTCTGCCTGCACTCAGGGACCAGAACAAGTACAAAGAGGCCGCCCACCTGCTCAACGATGCCCTGGCCATCCGCGAGAAGACACTGGGCAAAGACCACCCGGCTGTGAGTGAGAGTGGGTGGGAGGTGGGGGCTGCCCCCTGCCCTGCGTTGGGCAGGGCCCTGGGTCACTGAGTGTTGATTCTGCGCCCCCCCCCCCCAGGTGGCCGCAACATTAAACAACCTGGCAGTTCTGTATGGCAAGCGGGGCAAGTACAAAGAGGCCGAGCCCCTGTGCAAGCGGGCGCTGGAAATCCGAGAGAAGGTGGGAGCAGGCAGGGCTGGGCAGGCCGGCAGGGCCTAGCAGGCAGGGGCTGAGGGCAGCCCTGAGCCCAGCCGCTGGCTCCCGCTCCTGTCCCAGGTCCTGGGCAAGTTTCATCCGGATGTGGCCAAGCAGCTGAGCAACCTGGCCCTGCTGTGCCAGAACCAGGGCAAAGCCGAGGAGGTGGAGTACTACTACCGCAGGGCCCTGGAGATCTACGCCACCCGCCTTGGGCCTGATGACCCCAACGTGGCCAAGACCAAGAACAACCTGGTACCCTGAGCCAGGAGTGGGGTGGGGCGAGGGCAGGAGTGGAGGGAAAGGAAGGAGAAGGCTCAGCTCCCCATATCCCCGCTCGCTCTCTGGGCCTTTCCTCCAGGCCTCCTGCTACCTGAAGCAGGGCAAGTACCAGGACGCAGAGACCCTGTACAAGGAGATCCTCACCCGCGCCCACGAGAAAGAGTTTGGCTCTGTCAATGGTGAGGCTCAGACCACCATGTGCCCCCGGCTCACACAGCGCAAGCCTGGCCGGCCATTCGCATCCAGGGCAAATACTTGAGCTTGGCGGGCCCTTGTGGGGTCTGGCTGGTTCCCAGCCGTGTGTACGCACGTGTGAACACACGCACCCAACTCACACAGCCTCCCGGGTCCTGCCGGCGCTGCGTATGCCCTTAGCAGAGTCTTCCCCTTCCTCCGCTGGGCGATTCCTGCTCACCATGAGGGCCCACCCTGAATGTTTTCCCGGCTGGGAAGCCACCTTCCGGCCCCCAGTGGTCAGTCGTTTCCTTCTCTGGGGTCAGCCAGCCTGGGTGTCATTCAGGCCCAGCATGTGTCCCAGGCTGTGGACTTGAGGCATTTAAGGACCCGCTCCCCCCAGCCCTCTGTCCCAAGCCCCTCAAACACGGGCCCGCGCCATGTCATCTCCGTGTTCCAGAAGAGGGTCAGTATTGTTTCGAGTCTGTTTTTTGTTCACTCATTCATTCATTCATACCTTCATTCATTCAACAAAGCCCAATCCTGATCCTTCTTGGGTACCCCCGACCCCCTCCCCAGACCCCAGTCCTATGTTTCAACCAGGAGAAGCCTATATGGGAGGCTGGTGACGGCCCCCTTTCTCCCCCCAGGGGACAACAAGCCCATCTGGATGCATGCGGAAGAACGGGAGGAGAGCAAGGTAGCTCTGTGGGCAGGGCTGGGGTGGTCTGGGGAGGCAGGGTGAGCTGAGGGATGTGTAGAAGGGAGGGGCTTCTGCCACCTCCCCTGACCATTCCTTCCTCCAGGACAAGCACCGGGACAGCACCCCCTACGGGGAATATGGCAGCTGGTACAAGGCCTGTAAAGTAGACAGGTGAGGACGGCAGGGCACGGCTGGAACTGGAACAGACGGCAGGGAAACAGCATCCTGGGTGGGAGCCCAGTCCAAGCTCTGCGCTGCATAATGCTCACGCGTGCACGCGCACACACACACACACACACACACCTCTGTGTCAATTTGTCTTTCGAGAACTGAGTCATAGGCCACCTGTCCCAAAAAGGCTTTCTGTACTGGGACAGCCCAATTATCTTGCCCTTGGGTCTCCCAGCTTTCAGTCCTGGTGGCAACATCCCACTTAGGGCTCTGGGGCCAGGTCCCCAACCCTAGAAACCTGGGGTGATTCCAAGACAGGAGAGTCTAAGTAGGCCTAGCACAGGGCTGGACACAAGACAGGAGAGATTCTGGTCGGCGGGATGGTTCCTCGGGGCCCCCTGTGGGCCGGAGGCTAGGATGGGGCTGGTTCCCTGGGGAACACGGAGTTGGACACCACCCTGCTGTCCCGTCCACAGCCCCACAGTCAACACCACCCTGCGCAGCTTGGGGGCCCTGTACCGGCGCCAGGGCAAGCTAGAAGCTGCACATACACTGGAGGACTGTGCCAGCCGCAGCCGCAAGCAGGTGGGCCACTAGGCATTGGGGGGCGTGGCAGGGACCTGGGTGGCCGTGCGCGTTCCCGCCAGGATTCAGGGCTCCGGCCGATACGCCCTGCTCCTCCCTCAGGGCCTGGACCCTGCAAGCCAGACCAAGGTGGTGGAACTGCTGAAAGATGGCGGCGGTGGGCGCGGAGACCGCCGGGGCAGCCGAGAGGCGGCGGGGGGTGCCGGGGCGCGGCCTGAGTCTGACTTTGAGGAGGCGGGGCCTGCAGCTGAGTGGAGCGGGGTGAGTCTGGGGGCTGGGCCGGCCCAGGAAGAGGGGTGGTCAGTGTGGCAGAGAGAAAGACCGGTCCGCCCCGCAGGACGGCAGTGGCTCCCTACGGCGCAGCGGCTCCTTTGGGAAGCTCCGAGATGCCCTGCGGCGCAGCAGTGAGATGCTGGTGAAGAAGTTGCAGGGTGGTGGCCCCCAGGAGCCTCCTAACCCCAGGTGAGCCTTCCAAGAAGCCACCCGGAGCCCACCAACCCCAGATGAGCTCCTGACCCAGGTGAACTCCCTCATCTCCCGTAAGCTCCACCACCCACCAGATCTGCTCCCCTCCCGTCAGCCTCCGTCTCCAGCCCCCACCTGACCCCTTCCCACCTCCTCCCTCACCCCGTTCCACCCTTGGCAAATCCAGGCGTTCCTTTCTCCTCAGGATGAAGCGGGCCAGTTCCCTCAACTTCCTCAACAAGAGTGTGGAGGAGCCCGTCCAGGTATGGCTGGGTGGGTGTGGGGGTACTGCGCAGTGAGGCCCAGGCCCCAGGGCCCAGAAGCTGCATGTCCTGTGTACTGGCCAAGCTTGTCGGTCACGTCTGTCTATCTCGAAACCTTTCCAGCTCTTGCCGGGCCTGGCTTTGGGCTGGATCCTGGGAAGACAAATGAGGGAAACCCAGCTCCCGCGGGGGGTGGACGTGCAAGTGGCCAGGGCCGACACAGTGACTATGGAGGTGGGCGGGAGGGCCAGGGACTCTGGCTGATTGGGCCCCGTCTGGGCAGCAGCACGACACTGAGCCACCTGCCTGCTCTGCCCACAGCCTGGAGCTACTGGCTTCTCAGACAGCCGCGCCCTCAGCTCCAGCTCCATGGACCTCTCCCGACGAAGCTCCCTCGTGGGTTAATCCTGAAAGGGCAGCCAGTTGCCAGAGCCTCCACCCGGCACTGCCCTCACCCCCAGCCCTTCGCATGGGCCTGCTGCTTGCCCCATCTGTCTCTCCCAAGGACCCCCGTCTTTTCTGTTCAATCTCAGGGTAACCTCCTCCCTTGTCATCTCAGCCTGAGCCCTGGAGGCTGGGCCTGCCCGCTCCAGCTCCGGCCCTTATTTATTCCATCTAGCAGGGCCCCCTCTTTAGGTTCGGGGCCAGGTGAGAGGCTGGCCAGAGTCTCCAAGATAGAGACTCAGTGGCCCGCCCTCCCCAGGCCCCCCTTCGCCCCCGAGCCAAGAACATTAAGCACCTGCGGTCCCTTCAGCACTCCTGCCCTTCTGCCCCCCACCCCTCGGCCGTTGCTTCTGTATATAGAGAAATAAGTTATTGGCCGCGCCCCTCCCCTCAGTCCACGGTACTGCCCGGTTATGCCCTCACCGTGCCCTTCTCTAGTGGTACCGCCCAGGCCTTAATCACCCCCATTCCGCGCGGTGGTATCTTCCAGGCTCTACATCTCGGGGGGGCGGCGCCTCCCCAAAGGGTTCCCTGGGCCTTCTCGCGCTCCTCCTGGCCTCTGAGGGGCGCGTTGAGCCCCATCATCGCCCCATGATCGCCCCATGCCCCAGGACGGAGAACCCTCCCCTTGCCCGTCCTCTCACCGCCGGGTCCCGCCCAGCGTCCCGGCCTTATGCACTGCCCCTCCCGCCCGGCCCCGCCCAGGCACGGCCTGACCCCGCCCCGGGCAACGCCCGTCGAGCCATCCTGCCACGCCTCTCCCCTCGCCTGCGGCTTCTTGCTAGGGGCGATGATGGCCCCTGTGGCAGGAGGGGCTGCCCCAGTTGCGGGGGTGAGGCGGTCTCTTCTCTATTTTCAAATGTTGCTGTAGAAATAAAGACCGTTTGAATCTGAGCCGGGCTTGTTTTGGGGGCGGAGGCCAAGGGCCCCTAGCGTCTCTAGATTGGGGGTGAGGTTGGGAGAGGCTGCGAGCGAGAGCCAACGAGCTTGTGTGTGTCGCTCACGTCCGGTTCGGCGCTGCTGGAGCCCAGGTAGTTTGCTCCTTTCCCGGATTTGTTTGGGGGCCTCACAGGTTGAGTTTTTTCTAACAACCTTCATCACTTAAGCTCTGGAGACCGCGGGCTTTGATCTCTTCCCCTTACTGAGCTGTTTTATCTTGAGCGAGTTACCGAGACTAGACCTTTTCCATCTATAAGATGTGGGTGACGACACCCTCCGGGGGCTGCGTCTGAGTTAGGAGTGCCAGCACACCAAGAACCCCAAATAAGTGAACTTCTGATGCTAAAAACTCGGGGAACTGCGAGGGTAGGGATGACAGCCTCTGCCAGACAAACATGAAACGTGTCAACCCCAGCCCTAAACTGACCTCTTACGGTCGGGACGCGTCAGGTGTCCTCAAGCCTAGGTACGGCTATATGGAGCGAACTACAAGCCCCAGAAGGCAATGCGCGGCGATGATGGGGCGTGGGCTGGGAGACGCGGCCTCGGGTTTACGCCTGCGCAACAGCAGGCGCGGGGGTGGGGGGTGTGGTCGGGCAAAGTAAAGAGACTACAAGTTCCGAGAAGCAACGCGGCAAGGTCCCAGTCGGGAATGTTTGCGCCTGCGCATCGCGGGCGGGGCCTCTGGGGCGGAGCGGCCACCATCTTGGAACGGGAGGCGGAGCAGAGCTGACTGGGAGCGACCGAGCGGGCCACCGCCGCCGCCATGAACCCCGAATAGTGAGTGAGCCCCGCCCGCGCCGTCCGGCGCAGCCTCGATCCCGAGTACGGGGCTGTACGCTTACCGGGGTTGTCCGGCCTGGGTCAGGACGGAGCGGTGCCCCCACATCCGGGTCCCTCTTCCGCTGACCCCCCCCACATCCGGGTCCTGCCCCTCCCCCCGGGGGGCCCCAGGACCCCGGCTCGGCACCCCGAGTTCTTGCACCCGGGACCCAGACACTGCGACCCCAAGGGGCACTACTTCAGCCCGAAGCACCGATCCCTAACAGGTCTATTGGTCAGGTGACCCCGCAGCCTCGGTCTCTCCAGGCCTCAGTTTCCCCACCTGCTGCTTGCAGTGGCGGTCTGGGTGCTGACGACGGTCCCGGCGTTTTGGAGCCTATCCAGGCTCGGGCCCTTTAGGTCTGACAGTAAATCTTTTCTGTTTTTCCCGTTCTCCCGGAATTCGGTTCCCGGGGCTTGGCAGTTGCGGGAGGCCCCGAGGGAGTGCTCTGGGTCGCTGTCCCGGAGGTCGTCCCCCTCAGGGGCTGCCGCTTCGGCCTTTGCTGGGTCTAGCTGCCCTGGCGCTCCTGGGGGCCAGTCCCTTCCCGCCTTCTCCTCACCTTTGTGCAGGCCCCCTGCGCCACCGTCACACCCCTTCCCTTCGCCGTCACGCTGCCGATGAAGTTTAGATGAATGTGGCATTTGTTTCTCCCCTTCCAGTGGGATTCTCTGTACCTCAGACTCTCCTCACTTCTTGGTCACTCCCCCTGCGGGTAGGTGGCCCACATGTCTGCCCCGGACTTCTCCTGACAGTTTTCCCCCAGTGTCAGTTGTTGTCTTCCTCTTCTGCCACTTCCTATTTCTCCTCCAGATCCAGGCCTCAGATTTCCTTGGGGAAGGGAGAAGCTCTGAGCTCGATTATAAGGGACCCAGAAGGGAACCAGCAGGCTCTCACAGAGACTCTGGAGTCTGAACCTGGTTTCCAGTCTTAAAGTTAACAGCTGTGTAACTTAGGGCAAGTCACTTCCCTCTTCTGACCTCTGGTTTCCTCATTAGTTGGGAGTAACACCGTCCACTGCAGAGGGCTGCTGTGAGGGGCTTAAATGAGATAATGCATTTGCAGTGTTTAACATAGGGCCGAGTGCAAAGTAGGAACTCAGTGCATTTTAACTGCGGTCATTGCTACTCGTTCGCCACCTCTTAGAGGCTTCCTACCAGGCCCTTTACATAGATACTCACTTAACAAGTTCTAGGCTGGGCCCTAGCTTCCATTTCTGGGACCTCCCCTGCCAAGCCACATCGGCCCCAGGGCAGTGACGGGGGTTTCCTAACTAGCCCCTACTGGCCCAGAGACTACAGAGTCTGTCAGGTGTCAGGGTAGGACACCCAGCTTTTTCTCCTAATGATGGTGATCCTTGGTAGGTTATGTGCCTCCCTCTCTGTGCCTCAGTTTCCTTCTCTGTAAAGTGGAAATTCAGACTCGGTCCTTTGGGCCAGCTGTAGTATGGGGAGTGGTCAGCCCTATTCTTCCCAGGACTTGTGGGAGGATATTGTGAGCACCTAGATACTCCGAACCAAGGCAAGCCTCACAGCGTGGGAGAAAGCTGTAGTTGTGATTGTAGGATGGCATGACGGGTGGGCTCCCTGCCTTCCTTCATGCCTTCCCATCCTTTTTCTCTAGTGACTACCTGTTTAAGCTGCTTTTGATTGGTGATTCGGGCGTGGGCAAGTCATGCCTGCTTCTGCGGTTTGCTGTGAGTAAGAAGCCTCCCGTACCATCCACCGGGGGTCCTGGCTGGAGGCAGGAGGGAGAGGGGGCACCCCAGAGCACAGTGGTTGCAAGACCTTGGAACCAAGGATGAAGTCGCAGGACCTTCTAGTAACATCTCTGACTGAACAAAGACGCAGGGCTGGCAGGTTGGGGTGCTGAAAGTGGGGGCTTAGCAGTTACAAGCTTGGCTGGGGCAGGGACCTGGAGGGAGATTTTCTAAATGGGCATTGGGCCTGTCCACCTAGGCCATTTTGTTGGTCCCGCCTTTTCCAGGATGACACATACACGGAGAGCTACATCAGCACCATCGGGGTGGACTTCAAGATCCGAACCATCGAGCTGGATGGCAAAACCATCAAACTTCAGATCGTGAGTGTCGCTCTTCCCAGTCCCTAGTACAGAGGCAGCCGCCTTGGGAGGGGTAGGGGCTCTGGGCAAGTAGCCTGGCGCTGACCTGCCCTTCTCTCCTGCTGTCTTGTAGTGGGACACGGCTGGTCAGGAGCGGTTCCGGACCATCACTTCCAGCTACTACCGGGGGGCTCATGGCATCATTGTGGTGTATGATGTCACTGACCAGGTACACTCCTCAGGTCACATCTCCAGTTTTGTCTCCTTGGCTTCAGGTCTTTGGTTCTTGTTTTGTTCCGGGTTTTGGGGTTTGTTTGTTTTTTTTAGGATTTTATTTTTTTAAGTAACCTGCACACCCAGCATGGGGCTTGAACTCACGATCCCTGAAGTCAAGAATCACGTGCTGTACTGACTGAGCCAGCCAGGCACTCCAGGTCTTTGGTTCTTGTTTCCTTTTACTCTTCCCATCCTCCCTTCCGGATGCTGCCTGGAAGGGAGACTATGCTTGGACTCATTTCACAGGAAGGGAGACCGCTGCAGAAGTGCATTCTGCTGAGGCCCCGGTTAGGGGCGTTGGCAGAAATGGGCCTCACACCTCCTGGCTGAACTTGCCGCCTTGTTCTAGAGTTTCTAGGCCCCTGTGTTTCGAAGGGGTTTAGTCAGCTGGTCGGTTGCTATGCTGGGCCCCTGGCTTCCTGTGTGAAGACGCTTGGAGAATCGAGGGCAGGGCATTAGACGGGCGAGGGAGCCCAGCACTCTGGGCGCATCATGAGCAGAGGGTAGGAGCCCTGGGTCTGCTGTGGCAGCGGTGGTGGTGTTAACAGGCTGAGACCGTCCTACCGTCCTTTACGCTTTATATAACTTGTCACGGCCTCTTAACACTCTGAAGAAGTCTGCAGCAGGTTCCCATTTTACAGGTGAGGAAATGGGTCAGAGTGGTGAGGAGACTTGCTTGGAGCCGTGTAGCTAGTTAAGTGGCAGACACAGAAAACCTCGGTCTTCCGATTCTACTTGCTTTATTCTTTCTACTAAACCTTGTTGGTTAGTGGGGAGCAGGTCCTGGGGACACGGAAATGTTTACATCAGCCCTGGGCCTGGAGGAGTTCCTGCTCCGACGGGCAGCTGGGCCCTTGGGCTCACCAGGAATTCACGATGCCTTCTGGACAACAAGCTGTGGGTGGACTGTGCGCTACTCAGAGGTCATCAAGGGCCTCTCGCTGCCAAGTCCCATGACCTCATTGCAGTTCTGGCCCTGATCAACCTCTCATGGCTTCTACCTTCCTCCTCCTCCCTCTCTTTTTAAAGTTTGCTGTCTTCAGCTCTCCTGCCTCTTGCTACATTAGCTTCTCTTTTCAGTGACTTCAGACTAGTTTGCCCTGTACTACCACCACCACAGTCCCTGCCGTCTGTACCCCTGCCCACCCCCGATCTCGTGCTTCCTGACTTTTCCTGCATGGGCCTGGCCGCTTTGTGGTTCGACTTCCGTCTTCTGTTCCGTCATTCCTGTATAAACAGCTGTCACTGTGCATCTTCTCTATGTTCTACTTTGCTGGCACTTTGTGCAGTAGTTCTGACCTTCATCGTATCACCCAGTGAACTAAGCGCTGGGGTCCCTTTTTTCCAGGTGAAATATGCTTGGGGAGGTGTTAGGTAACTTGCCCGTGGTCTTATTGCTAGCTCGTTTGCTAGGAGAGGCAAAGCCAGTGTTTGAACCCAAGGTTCTTGGCTTCTGAGCTTACCCTTCCCTGCCCCTAGGCAACCTCTCCTGAGCTCCAAATCATCTTCCGAACTCAGCATGTCTAGCACTGGTCTCACCCTCTCTCGCTAAACTGGCTCCTGCATCGCCATCTTTGTAACAGAGTTCCTGTTGGCCTGACCGGAAAACTCTTCCCTCCCCTTCTTTCCCCTCTGTTTTCCCCACCACACCTTCTCTTTCAAGGCCTTGCCCTTGTAACAATAGCAGTGATGAGGATGACAGCAGCTCCTGCTAATTAAGCACTCGTTATAAGACAGGCCTGCATTCATTATCTCTTAGGCACAACAGCCCCAGTGAGAGCTACTGTTTTATCAAAAT